CATTTTCTTAGTTTAGACTGTGGATATTTGGAAGTTGAAAATGGTAAAATAAACTTTCAATTTATAAACAAACCTACCCATAACTATTTGAAATATGTCATTTCATTTCCTTCATCAACCCAACTGAAACACTAATGTTTGAATGATCACTAATGGCCTTATCTTTGATGATGTGGCAGTTATGAGGACTGGGGAGTTGATGAGCTGATAGTAGAGGACTCCTGGAAGCGGCAGGTTGGTGGAGATTGAGATTAGCCAGCCTTCAAGCCTCCCAATGCATTGCTTCGGGATCTGCAACCGAAACACGTATCTCCTGTTTATAAACTTCGTGCTAAATTTCATGTTGAGCTATGAATGTATGTAGTGCAACTTTTGTCTATGTAGGGATTTTGAGCACAACTTTAGCACAACTTTGATTTATTGTTCATTACCGTTTCGAGATTTCCATGCATCCTTTTTATGAAGTGGTTGATATTATATAAATATGCTTAGGGAAATTTACATTGGTACAACACAATTCTTATGTATTTGTAAATCTAAAACCTAAATTTTGATGTTTATAACTATTGACACCTTGTTGCAATAAACATGGATAAATATATGTAATTGACTTTTAAAATGTTAATAAACCTGATTTTTTTTTTATGTTAAAGACTCGAGTGTTATGAATGTAAATATTAGAGTTTTGGCGTGGATATATAAATATGCAATAGTTATGCGATGTGACTATAAATGTCCTCCATTTTTATCATCATCATATTGCGTACAAAAGCTGTTGTTAGGAAGCAGCTTGCGTCTGGATGACGCAACTTGCGTCTGGATAACGGACATTATTTTTTTCAAACAGAGATCCTAGTCGAGATCCATGTAATAGTAGCTCAATGTGAGAAATTTTTCGCTACGGCTGCATGTAATGTAAAGAGCTTTTTAAGACATTGTGAAAAAAATTCATCATGTATTTGTAAAATCTAGCTGTTAGATAATTTTATGGTTTTATGTAATATTAAAAACTTTACATTTACATTCATGGCAATAATGTTATAAATTTATGCACGAAATGTTATATTTTAAAGTTTAGGTGTTAGGTATAAGTACTACATATTACATTTCTCGTGTATTTAAATATTTAGCACTTAAAAATTTTATATGTACATTTATAAAAAGTTAGAAATAATAGTATTTTCATGTAAGATTAATGAT